GGGGGGGGCATTAGGGAGGGGTGGGATCTAAAATTCCGGAGTTCCACATAGGAATCCATCAAATCCTTTTAGCTTTGGACAGAGAGCGGGGGAAGGGCTAGGAGCCCCTGTTAGGTTCTTATTGCTGTGGGGAAGATTTTGCCTCACTTCCTGTCCTGGCGATACAACTGCCAGGAAACGGAATTCTGGGTAAATCCCGGAATCGGGAACACAGTGATAAAAACCAGGCAAAGGATCTAATCCCACTCCGACCTCGATAACACAAAACCAAAGGACCAGTATAAAGAAAGATGCTGAGAAATGAAAGTAGAAAAACTTTATTGATACAAAATAGAAATAAAAGAATAAACAAATGTGTTACTTGTGCGATACAATAATCAGAGTCTTGTGCTATGGCAGCCATTGGATAATGCAGAGAGTGCGGAGTTCGAGTGATCCCCGTTATTGACCAATTGACGTTATTAAAATGCAGATTTGTCCTCCCCGGGAATGATACAATTGTAAAATATCTGAGGAAGAGATCCAGAAACAATACTGAAATCTTCTATCTTTATTTAGACTCTAACTAGGGTATTGATCCTTCTTACCCCCTTCCTCTGACCTAACCTACCCCCTCAGATGTGTACTTACCTATATCCAATGGCCGATGTTCTTAAAAATCTAACACCTCTAGTAGGGATGTCCCGATACCACTTTTTCAAGACCAAGTACAAGTACTTCCCCTCATGTACTTGCCGATACCAATTACCGATACTTTTTCTTAAAGTGACAGGTGACTTTAAATGATCCGTAGTACAACTACATGTTATGTACTATGGATCATGATTTAACCTATTACTCTATATGAAGTGCATGTACAGTGCACCTTACAAATACAATGCACCTCCCATTTCAGCACAGGCCCTTACTTACTGGTGCCTGTTCAGTGGAGGTGCCGAATTCTTTTCCTCACATGTGAGGACGCCGTCGGCGTTGAGCGGCTGAGCGTTGAGTCACTGCAGTGGGTGGCGCACTAGGTGGAGTTCCTCTGGGCAGTCTCCGGCAACCTACATTAGGACCCCACCTGGAGCGCCGCCCACAGCAGTGACGCGACGCTCTTCCGCTCAGCGCCGACGACGTCCTCACTTGTGAGGAAAAGCATTCGGCACCTCGTGAGGCACCAGGGAAGGAACAGGAGGGAAAAAAAAAAAAAACAGCGCGAGCGTCAGCGCATTTTGACAAGTACTTGTCAAAATGCCCTGTATCGGTCCCCATTCCGATGCTAGCTTCGGTATCGGGACATCCCTACCCTCTAGTCTTCACTGTCCTGGCCAAACCTGCACAATGCATCCCCATAGACTTCTCTGGGACCATCTCCGGTATTCTCCTGCTTGGTGTTTGGGACACAGCTCCAGTCAATAGGGCACCAATGCGCTGGCACGGCCAGGACAGTGAAGACTCTCGGCGCCGATGTAAACATGAGGCAGGAAGTGCTAGGTTAGGTTTGGTCATTGAAAGCGAGCACAAACCTTAAATGCCATTTGTTTTGATGTGCACTTATCCTTTAAGTCGGCCAATATTATTACATAGTATTTATATAGCACCAACAGTTTGTGCAGCGCTTTACAATATAAGGAAGACATTACAGTTACAATACAATTCAAGACAAGAGGCTAAGGAGGGCCCTGCCCCTGAGGGCTCACGATCTAATAGACCAATAAAGAGGAACACTTAGGGGCTGATTTATAACGTGTTCGCCCCCAGCGCATATCTGTGCGAACAACATTCCCTGCACTCTACTGCCACTATTTACTTCTTATGCTCCTCGGCTCCATCTAGTGGCATTAATGGGCTGCGAGCGGCATTTGCACAGATATACGCCGGGCGAACAGGTTATAGATCGGCCACTCGGTGCAATACAGAAAAATGCTTCACCTATTTGGCAGACCTGAGCATCAGATGGGGATACAATTGTCCTCCCAGAAAGGATGTGTGGAAGTCCACCGTGTAAGGTCACAATCTCTGATCGAGGAATGTCTTATCTTTTATAAAAGGTACCGAGTTGTCTTCTTTCTCCATCGTCAGTTCCTTCCCAGACTCCCGAAATACTGAAAGTGGTGCACCATATTGTGGGGTGGAAACATTTCCTATCATCATCCCACCATGAGTCCTCCTCCTTGACCAATCAGGTAGCTGCAAACGCTGGTATCCATTATGTCAGTTTAATCAAAAATGAAGAGCTGATTGGATGACCAGGGCACGTGGTGATGGGCGCACTATGTTTACTAAAGGGCACATGCTTGTCCACTCTATGCCGTGGCGTCCAGGTGACCTCTTTCTTGCTTTTGTTGGTTCAAATAAGCCATCAGTAGATCCACAGTTACTGAAATGAGAGAAGAAATTACTTGGGGATCAGCTAAAACATCATCTCCAGGTAGGATTCCTATACAATGTTCACATGCGTCATCTCTACATAAACCCCCATTATTTTTATAAGTAAGGCCACAAGCAATGTGAAAGTTTGGGGGAGGAGCCACTTCCTGCCTCTACAGGCTGAGGAGACGGAAAGCGATACCCTGGTCCTCCAGAATGGAGACTGGGAATGGGGTGTGGAATCCAGTTTTGCAGGATACAGTGTTTGGCTGGAGGTGGTTTAGGATTCAAGGGCCAGGACTGGCTAGCAGAAGGGCCACATTGACCTCAGCCATCTAGGGTAGGAGTCTAAAGGTCTCTCTGCCAACCAATTCATGATCTCTCAATCATGTGTAAATCCTGACGGGCCACACCGTGGCCAGTGAAAGGACTAAGATGCAAAAGATTACCCCATACGCTATACGGTCAAAAGTTTGTGGATACCTGACCATCACATCTATATGAGCTGGTTGGACATCCCAGAACCATGACCATTGATAAGCTTCCCCCCACTTTGCAACTATACCATCCTCCCAGAAGGCCTTCCACTGAATTTTGGAAGTGCCAGTGGGAGTTTGTCCCATTTGTGAGGTACTGATGTAGGATGAGAAGATCTGACTCACAATCAGCTTTTCAAATGATCCCAAAGGTGTTCATTAGGGTTGAGGTTGGGGCTCTGTGCAGGACACTCTGTCTTAATGGATTCAGTCAATTCCTAAATCTCATCAACATCTCCGATTGGGCTCCTCATCATTCCCATCTCCCACCAACTTCCATGATCGGTCTTCTAATCATCCCCCATCTCACCTTCCTGTGATTGGACTCCTCACCATTCCAGTCTCTTCTCACCCAATATGGAGTTGAAAAGTTAGCCTCGCTTTGTGAGGTCGGGTACTGATGATGGATGAGAAGACCTGGCCCTCAATTTGCATTCCAATTCTTCCCAAAGGTGTTCAGTAGGGATGAGGTCGGGGCTCTGTGCAGGACACTTGAGTTCCTCCACCAAACTGCTCACACCATGTCTTTATGGAGCTGGCTCTGTACACAGGGGACAGTCATGAAGGAACAGAAAAGGGTCTTCACCAAACTGTGACCACAAGGCTGGAAGATCCCAATGGTCTACAATGTCTTTGTATGATGTAGTATTAAAACAGAACCTTCACTGGAGACACCTGAACCCCATTATTTGGTGGCTCTATGTGGGAATTTGTGGCCATATGTGAGGTCAGGTACTGATGTTGGATAAGAAGACCCAAAAGGCATTCACAAAGGTTATCAGTAGGGTTGAGATCAGGGCTCTGTGCAGGACACAAGTTCCTCCACCAAGCTGGTCACACCATGTCTGTATGGAGCTGGCTTTGTACACGGGGGACAGTCATGGTGGAACAGAAAAGGGTCTTCACCAAACTGTGACCACAAGGCTGGAGGAGCCCAATTGTTTACAATGTATTGACGTGGGAGATCCACATAGGTTTGGCCATATTATATATTTATAGTGGCCAAATACAAGGTCCTGTGAGGCTGAGACCTGGTCAGCTACTAGAAGAAGCTTTAGCATCATAGGGTTAAAGCCAGACAATTTGGTTCTTCAGTTCCCCAAATCCCTCAAACAGCCATGGGAAAGGTTCTCTTGGGACTAAGGTTAAGAAATATTTGGTTTGTTTCTGGACTTGAAGGACCAGTATAGACTGGTTTCATCCCCACCATTTCTGCAAACCGAGCACCGGTACTGTTGTGGTGTATACAAGCAGACATGAAATAATTGGTTACCTCCAGCAGACGGGCGATCCCTGGGGTTCTTATGAATAAGGCGCTTGATGAGATCACGGAAGATACGAGGACATGAAGAGGGAAGTTCATGGTCTACCGAGGCCCACCACGTCTCCTGCATCTCCTGCAGATTGTCCCCCGTCACCTCCAGGTCTGTGGGAATCACACACAAAAAAATGTTTTATAAAAACTGAGGCCCTTCTCTTGTATGGCAAGGAATAATAATGGTGCTTCATCTATCCATACACAGGAGAGGAGCTACACCAACACCCTCAATCAGGAAGTTTATTTTAGGAATTTAGGACAATGACCGCCCAGAGGAAAAATCACATCGACATGGATTGTTAATAATTTTCTCTGACCACACACAGTACTGTGCAGAAGAAGAAACACTCAAATCCTAGTTTTGTTTTAAGGTCTTCTGGAGGGACAGGGAACAGGTGGTATGCCCCCCCCCCCCCCCTTCCCCCAAAAACCCCCACCTCACCCTCCCCCCGGCTCCCTTGCA